GAAGAAACGCAATTTTTTCTTCCCAATCTTTTCTGCACTTAAGGAAATCGCTGGAGGAAGAACTAGGGGGATACGTGCGTAAAAATAAAACGTGTGTGCGATTTTAAACTTTATTTATTTATTGTGTTTTCGTTTTTTCGTCACTGATCAATTGGTGTCTTGATATTTTCTACTTTCTAAATTTTGAGGGGGAGAAAGGGCGTTCTGAAAATTTCATAACTGATATTTTCCCCTCTAGAAATAAAATTTTAGAATATCTCATCCAGGTTTTATTTCCAAGAAGTATGCTGGAAATTGCCCCTCATTTGTTTTTTTAATGATTTTAATAAACGGGATAATAAAGCCGATCGTTGAAGCTAATAAGTTTCTTTATATTTCTGATTTATTTATTTACGGACCTGTAATTTTATTTTCTCCGTTCAAAGGCTAACAATCAAAGGAAACATTGTTCGTTTAGTGAAATCTGGCGGCTGTACCCTTAGAGTTTTGCGAAATGCATTTGCTCTTTTTGAATAATTCATTATCAAAATGTATTATCTGCTTGTTTGTTTTTATATTTCCTTTTATTCTTTGAGTGACATTTATCTTTTATTGATATACATGCCTATGCGAATTCCTTCTTGAAAATAAACCACCCTTTATACTTTATATTTTTATTCTTCAAAAATAATTTTATCCGGAAAAATACACAGTCACCTTTATATTTATATATATGTGTGTGTGTATGTGCATGTATACGTATATCTGTATGTATGTTATGTATGTATTATGTATTTATATATGCATTATATAGTATATATATATATATATATATATATATATATTAATATATATATATATATATATATATATATATATATATATAATACTCGCCTTTTCTACCCAGCCCCAAATCCTGCTTTTCCTCAGGCAAGACTTGTTTCCTTTCAGGCCGTCGGTTAACATACGCTTTTACACGCACATTTAACTTGAATACGTTTTAACGGGGTTCGGTTAAGTGGGTTCCTTTGGCTGGTGCTAACCCTTTCCCTTCTTTAATCTATGTAATTACCTGATTATTGTTTCTAATTATTGCCGCAATGAAACCGGTTTAATTGCGTAATTATTAGATATTTGTTTTGTTGCTCCTTCTCTCCCCTTTTTCGATATAGGTAATTGTTTATTGAAGATTATTGTTTGATTAGTTAGTTTGTTGGATAATTGGTTTATTTTATTTTCTTCCGCCTGACCTTCCTTGCTTTATCTAATCATCTAATTATCTTTATCTTTTTTTTGTTCTTGCTCTTATTGTTGTATCTTATCGCTAGTCGTTGTCCATTTTAAGTTTATATAATTGATATTTTATTGTATATTTTCGTTCTCTTCTTCGCTATACACATTATCTTTTTGTTGTTGTTATTATTATTATTGTTATTGTTAAGATATTTATTTTTATTATTATTATCTTCATCATCATCCTTATCACTATTATTATTGTTAGCATCATTGATATTATTGCCATTATTGTTCTCATTATTTTTGTAATTATTGTTATTATTATTTTATTTTTTATTATTTATATTATTATTATTTTATTATATTATTATTGTTATTATTATTATTATTATTATTATTATTATTATTATTATTATTATTATTATTATTATTATTATTATTTTATTATTTTAATTATTATATTGCTTCTTTTAGTTCATGTTTCTTTTTTATTATATTACATTATTATGACTATTACTATTGTTATTATTATTGTTATTATTATTATTATTTTGTTATTATATTTATTATTATTATAATATTATTATTGTTAATATTATATATTATTTGTTATTATTATTATATTATTATTATTGTTATTTAGTCTAATGTTATTTATTGTTGTGTTGGTATTATTATCGTTATTACCGTTATAATAATTGTCATTAATATTCTAGTTGTTCGTTTTTGACTATAGTATCTCTTCCCGAACATCACTCTTTTCCCATCCTTAATTAATTTACTATTTTATTTAATTGTCTTATTTTACTTATTTTGTTTTACTTATTTTGGGCCTGTTACCCTCCTTCCCTTTCTCCTTCCATTTTTATCCTGAAGGACACTCCTTTAGAAGTGCTCCTTGACACAGAACACAACGATTTCATTTTGGCGGGTGCAAGTTTCATTCTTTTGACTTTATTTATTTGTTTATTGTTGTTGTTTGATGTTGTACTTGTTGTTTTTAATTTCGTGATGTTTTTTTTAATGAAGCGTTGGGTCATTTGTGTTTGTTTGTTTGTTTTTATATTTTTTTTGTTATCGTGTTATTTGTAATTACGTTTCTGTGAAATGTTTTCTTCTGATATTATATATATATATATATATATATATATATATATATAATATATATATATATATATATATATATATATATATATATATATATATAATCTCTCTCTCTCTCTCTGTTTGTTTTTCGGGATATTCCTTATTTGGCGAATATATTATACTACGTTATCTTCTGTGATTCATGATGACTTTTTGGTGCCTGAAGCCGACAGCGGCAATTATCTCATGCTTGCTGCCGGCGAAGCGGAAAGGACACTGATAAAGAATATTGCGTTACATTATTACTTTGCATGCTTTTGTGCTCGACTTGCTTCTTAAATATCTTATTTAGGACTTAAAGGACATATGATTTATGACAAATGGAAAACTCAAAATGAAGGAAAAAAATATCTGAGCACAGGAAAAAAAACAGAATGTGAAAATACAAAATAATGTTTCCGTTTTCTTTTGTTTTCTTGTATTGTATGCCACACCTGCGCAGTCCATAATGATATATGCTTCCGATGACTTTGGTAAATGACTTTGTGGAGGGATTGTTGTGTGTAGTGGGGTTGAGTTGCCATTGAATGAAGTAGGTTACACGCTACAGCGGATGTGTGTGTGTGTGTTTGTGTATTATTTTGTTTCTATATTTACACATGTTTACATTATGCGGGGCCGGACTATGACCTTTTTTGGACCCCTGGACTTTTTAAATTTGGATTTCCTTTTTTATTTTTGTTTGTATATTATTATATATTATTATTATTATTATTATTATTATTTTATTTATTGGGTGAAAAATGTTTTTCTTTATGAAGCTACGTGTGTTCGTATGGATGTGTGTTATAACGTGTATCTCAATACCATGGTGTTCGTATGTGTGCAAACATTTATACGATGTCAAGGAATATTCCTAACCCTCAATCTATCAACCAACCTCCTCTCTCCGATCGGAAAACTCTCCATATTCCTAACCTCAACTTCGAAACCCTCATTCTTCTTATCTTCTAACTCAATTCTTCTTCTCTCTTCCTTCCTTCAACTTCAACCCTTCCTCTCTCCATATTCCTAACCCTCAATTCTTCTTCTTCTTCTTCTTCTTCCTCAACCAACCTCCTCCCCATATTCCTAACCCTCAATTCTTCTTCCTCTTCTTTCTTCTTCTTCTTTTTTCTTCTTCTTCTTCTTCTTCTTCTTCTTCTTCTTCTTCTCTTCTTTCTTCTTCTTCTTCTTCGTCTTCTTTAACCAACTCTCCTTTCTCTCTCCTCCCGCACCTCCAGGCTGGGTTGCGAGGACTTCACGCACCCTCCTTCGTGGCCCAACCCCAATTCAGGAGCGTCGAGGTCCCTGTTCTTCTCCGAGGCCGCCATCACCCAGAGCCACCCGCGGTTCGCCACGCTCACCAGGAACATCCGCGAGCGCAGGGGCGAGAAGGTGGCCATCAACGTTCCCAGTAAGTCTTTTATTTATTTTTTTTTTTTTTTTTGGTCTTCTTGTTTTTCTTTTTCGATTTGTTCTTCTTGTTCTTCTTTTTCGACTTGTTCTTGTTTTTTTTTTCTTTTTCTTGTTCTTTTTATTCTTCTGGATCTTGTTGTCTTTCTTTTTCTTGTTTTTATTTTTCTTGTTTTCTTTCTTCTTATTTTTCTTGTTGTCTTTCTTGTTCTTGTTGTTTTTCTTCTTGTTCTCCCTTTTCTTCTTGTTCTTGTTGGCTTTCTTCTTGTTCTTGTTGCTTGACTGGTAACATTCGATAGCGCAGGGGCGAGAAAATGGCCATCAACGTTCCCACTAAGTCTTTTTTTTACCGTTTCCTTGCTTTGATTTCTCGTGTTGTGCTTCTCTTTTCTCCTTCATTTTGTAATCATTATTATTATTATTATTGTTCCTTCATCTTCTTTTTCTTTTTCTTCTTCCTTTCGTTATTACTATTATTATTGTTATTATCATTATTATTCTTATTACTATTGATTATGGTTATTATTATCACTGATGATGATGATGATGATGATGATGATTATTATTATTATTATTATTATTATTATTATTATTTATACTACTATTACTACTATATTATTATTATTATTATTATTATATTATTTTATTATTGTTATTATTATTGACTCGAAACATTCACAGAGGGCGAAAGGAGGCCATAAATGTGCATAGTAAGATCTAGTTTTGTGGATTACTTTCGCGTGCTTTTTTTTCTTTTTTCTTTCTTTTTTTTCTTTTTTTTTGTTGTTTTTTATTCTTATTCTTTATTTTCTCTTTCTTCGTTTCATTTTTTTCTGATATGATATTCTCTTTGCTTTCTATTGTTTGAATTCTTCCTGTTTTTTCCGTATTTTGCCCTTCATCTTCCTTTCTATTTCACCTACATTTTCCCATCATTCTTCTTCTCCATCAGATTCTCCTTCTCCTCTTTCTCCTCTTCGTCCTCTTCCTCCTCCACCTGATCCTCTCCTTCCTATCCTTCTTGTTCTTACTCTTATTCTATTTTTTCTTGTTCGTGTTCTTTTACTTATTCTCATGTTTCTTTTTTCTTTTTCTTCTACTGATTCGTCTTCGTCGTCTAAATCGGAAGAGATAAGGGGAAGGAGGGAAGGAGAGGAGGAAGGGAGATAGAGCGAGAGGGAAGGAAATAGTAAGAGAGTAAGGTGGGATGGAGAAAGAAAGAAAAAAGAAGGGAGAAGAGAGAACGAAAAAGGGAGAGAGGGAGACCCCAAAAAATCTATGCTGCATGATCACAAGCTCAAACAGGATTGGTGCCTAAAAATCCGGGCTTCCGAAACTGTCCCATAATGCCAATCCGATTAACGTTTTCATTAGTAAATGTCGTACATTTAGATACCTGTTGGAACAATATAGGATATCGTCCTTTTTCCCCGCGTAGTGTATCCTGTACGCATGCTGGACAACCTTTTAATTGTACCTGTTGGAACAGTATAGGATATCGCCCTTTTTTCCCCGTAGTGTATCCTGTACGCATGCTGAACCACCTTTTAATTGTTCCAACGGTCATTTATATCCATTCGTATTCCACGCGTATGTCGCTTCTGGTGACAAACAACTTTAAACAAGGCAAACTGTACCTGGTATTGTTTGGCATTCTGAAATGGGGGTCGAGTAACGTGGTGGTGGTTTAAAAATAATTGTTTTATATTTGTTTTATTTATCTGTTTTTTTTTCTTTTGTTTATCTGTTTATTCATAATTTATCTATTTATTTCTCTATGTATTTGATAATATTACCGAAAAAGGGGTTCTTCGTTAATAATAACATGGATATAATGTCTAGGTATATGATAGTAATACGTGATGTGATTTCATTTAGTCATTGCCAGCTTTTCACTGTAGACTTGAATATCACCCTTTGACTGAAATATATATATGCTCTCCCCCGCCTCACAGTAACTCATATTATGACAATAAAGTACGGTGAAGTCTAACCTAACTCGAAGCAAAGACACTACAAAGCTTGTTCAAGTATTAAACACACTTTAGAATTACTGTATTACACCTCTTGCAATAACATTTAACACAATTATTAGCATTAACTGAACTGCATTCGGTTAGGATCAAGCATAAAAGATAATGAAGTATATTTTGGAAAGAAAGATGCTATAATTTGACGAGGTAGTATGACATTCTGCACTGCAAAGGCTTTGCTATTTTTGTGGGCTTGTGACCCATGTGACTATGAAGAGCTTTGTGTGTTTGTATTTACTATTTCTTTTTATGATACATTTAATTTTTTTTTCAATAAGGTCAAGTCAAGTTAGGTTAGTTTAGGTTAGACTCCTTAATGTCGGGTCATGTTCTGGAGCAGTTAACTATATATATAGATGATTCCTTAACTAACAACCTACTCGCCCAGAGCAAAGATGGACGACATAGGTAAATAGACAGGAGGTAGATAAATAGATGGATAAACAGAGACAGATACTTAGGGATGAAGAGAAATGTATAAAGAATTTTAGTTATCTTGAACAATACCACACAAAGATGCAACCAGGACACGCGCAGCTACCATATTATTCTCTGCATTTTCATACTTGTGACATTTCTGTTCTCATCTACCCGGGAAGACAGTTCTTATGACACAAATCTCTCTCTCTCTCTCTCTCTCTCTCTCTCTCTCTCTCTCTCTCTCTCTCTCTCTCTCTCTCTCTCTCTCTCTCTCCTCTCTCTCTCTCTCTCTCTCTCTCTCTCTCTCTTCTTCTTCTTCTTCTTCTTCTTTCTCAATCTCTTTCTATCTGTCAATCTATCTTGCTGCCCCTCTCTTTCCATCGTCTATCTCTCTATCTCCCTCTCTCCCTCTCTCCCTCTCTCCCTCTCTCCCTCTCTCCCTCTCTCCCCTCTCCTCCTCCCTCCCTCCCTACCCACCTACCTGCCTATTTATCTATCTATCTGTCTATCTATCTATCTGCACAGTGTTGCAGGGGTTGCCATCCGCAGAGTTAACCGGAATGCAGTTTCTGTTTGCCATTAAAACATTGTGTCATGCTGTCATACAGACTCGAGGCAGCATGACAGTGCACTGCAGGGCTGTGTGTGTGTGTGAGTTGCATGGCTTCTGTGATGCAACACGGCCTTGAATTGATGGATGATAAGCTGTGATACTGAAGCGAAATAATTGTCAACAGAAAACGTTGGCGAATAGTGGCGTTACATAGAGTTTTCGTCTTTTGGGGGGAATAGTTTTCGATACATTTTTTTCTATGTTGCAAGAAGGACACAGGTTTTGTTAGATGGTGGGAGATAGGGTTTTTATTAAGGGAACAGTAGATCACGTGTGGAAATGATAATGATAGGAGTAATGATAGTAATGGTGGTGGTAGTGGTAGTAGTAGGAGTAGCAGTAGTAGTAGTAGTAGTAGCAACAGTAGTAGTAGTAGTAGTAGTAGTAGTAGTAGTAGTAGTAGTGGTGGTAGTAGTAGTAGTAGTACAAGTAGTGGTGGTAGTAGTAGTAGTAGTAGTAAAAGTAAGTTGCAATGATGATAATGAGAATGATGGATGAAAATGATGTTGAGAATGACAATGATAACGATCGCAGTAATAATACAGATAATAATTATAATAACAAGGCATTGAAATGATATCATCATCTCTCGTCGCCCTTATCTGATATCAAGAATAGCACCAACATAAAAAATAATAAGATAATGACGGCGTTTAAAATGCAATCCACGAAATTAGATATTTTATTCAGTGGCGTCCGACTTAACGGTTTGGTATCATAAAGACGAGAATCCTACGATAACGGAAGCAAATTGCGACCTTGCCGATAACGAGGAAATTGATGAATTAGGGTGGGTGGGGGGTGGAATGGGGGTGAGATATGATATGAAATTCCGAGTCATGGTGATGGTTATGGGGACGAAGGTTTCACGAGGTTTATGGGTTTGTTTATGTCTAAGGCAGGAAATTGGTTTGACTTTTTTTTTTTTTTTTTTTTTTTTAAGAGGGCGCGGAAATGTCGGTCTGCAATAGGTTAGCGTGTCAGGATGTCAATGTGATTGCGAAGTTTTATGAAATCATTTACGCTTCTCAACTTTGACCTTGTATCATACTCATATACACACACTCTGCCACGCACAAGCACTCAAAAATCGATGTGTGTGTCTTTACCTACCTATTTGTACATACATGCATACATTCACACACACACACACACACACACACACACACACACACACACACACACACACACACACACACACACACACACACACACACACACACACACACATACACAAGAGAGAGAGAGAGAGAGAGAGAGAGAGAGAGAGAGAGAGAGAGAGAGAGAGAGAGAGAGAGAGAGAGAGAGAGAGAGAGAGAGAAAGGGGGGGGGGAGAAGAGAGGGAAAGGGATGGGAAAGGAAAAGAGGGAGAGAAAAAGAGAGGAAAGAAAAAAGAGAGAAAGAGAGAGAGAGAGAGAGATACCTACACACACACACACACACACACGTATACAAGCGTCCATACGTACACACATCTGCATGTCCGATTGCAAAGAGCGTCTTGCCGAGGTGCGAGCGGCGGCGCGCGGGATCACGAGAGCTGGCGTGGCGTGGCGAGGCGCCCATTGTGGTTCGGCGCTGAATCGTGTTTTGTTTGCTCATTAAGTTTAATAAGGGAACTTCTGCGCTTGGCACGGCACCGCTTGCGAGAAACCTGCACGTCGGACATGGCGACATCTGTAGAAAATGGGCGAATTAAGGATGATGATTCCTCAAGATTCGTCATTCTGATACTAAATCTTCGATGGAATCATATAATTTTGATGTGTCAAAAGTGCTTATCACACCAGAAATATTACTATACGTATTTTCTTTCATACATATTCTTATTGCCAACGAATTTCTTTACTTTTACAATTACTATGTGTATGTAAACTTAAAAAAAAAAAAAAACGGCGGATAAGCCTACCATTGCAAGGTATGGTTTTGGCCAGA